CACGTCGGCGTCCAGGCGGAGAGAAACTTCGGCAACAACGGTTTCATCAGAGGTCAGGGCCAGCTTCAACCAGGTCGAGGAGGTCATGGTGTCTCTCCGTCGGTTGGTGTAACTGGTGGCTTCAGATTTAGAAGAGAAGCTGAACCCCAAAGAAATTCAATTTCCTTCCAAGGATCGCAACCTCTGAGCGGACCAATGCGCCAGCCTACGTGGGATCTCAACGCCAATCGCAATATCTTGGATAATGGTCGTACAAGGACAGATGTTTACGGAGGAATGAGTAAGGTACCTGGACAACGAGTGCAGCCGCACGTCGGCATCCAGGCAGAGAGGAACTTCGGCAACAACGGTTTCATCAGAGGTCACGGCCAGCTTCAACCAGGTCAAGGAGGTCATGGTGTCTCTCCGTCGGTTGGTGTAACTGGTGGCTTCAGATTTAGAAGAGAAGCTGAACCCCAAAGAAATTCACTTTCCTTCCAAGGATCGCAACCTCTGAGCGGACCAATGCGCCAGCCTACGTGGGATCTCAACGCCAATCGCAATATCTTGGATAATGGTCGTACAAGGACGGATATTTATGGAGGATTGAGTAAGGTACCTGGACAACGAGTACAGCCGCACGTCGGCATCCAGGCGGAGAGGAATTTCGGCAACAACGGTTTCATCAGAGGTCAGGGCCAGCTTCAACGAGGTCCAGGAGGGCACGGTGTTTCCCCTTCCGTCGGTGTAACTGGCGGTTTCCGGTTCAGGAGGGAAGCGGAGGATGTTGATGAAATAGAATCTATTGAAGAGTATTAAATCTTAAATTAATATATATATAAATTAATTTGTGTAGATATAAATCTATAAGAAACTATAATTTAAATTTGTTTCGTTTTCATAATTAATGTTGTATTATATTTGGTAATATAATCTAATTAATTTGCATTCTATTTAAAAGTTACTATACTTCGAGGCTATTTTATAAAGTTTACTGCATAATAATAATATATGTATATTTAATATCATTAATTTAAATAAATAAACTTTATCAGAATATTTTTGCGTCTGCATTTACCTATACATATATTTATTAACCATGTGTTTTTCATCTCATACTTATTCTTCCAAAAATTTAAAACCAATTCTTGATTTCGAAGATTATCACAGTTCAACTATTTGGCAATAAAAAATCATATCGGTATTTAAAAATTCAAGGAGAATTTTGGATATCAAAGAAATTACACATATAAAAATTTCAAATCTGAAAGAACGTTTTCAAAAATAAACTCAATTTCACATATAATAAATGCATGAAAAGTACATAACAAATTTCCGTCAACTTTTCATGTTCTTATTATTTATATTAACCGGTAATCACCGCGACTGAAGAATTAGTGTCTCGGCAAACACTTGACCGTATCAAATCAAATCGAATGTCACCGTTCGATGTCTAATCTTGCATGTAACTTAGCAGGTTTCCGGGTACTTCGAGCGACGGGTGAATCCAATAAGCTTCGACAAGCGTGACAAGGGCGCGGGGTTTTTTTTCGCGCTGGAGGTCTCTAGACATGACGATTAAACGTTTTCGCCCGGGCGCTAGGAACAGTAGTCATTCTGCACGTGGCCACTTCGACAATAGGCAGATAGAAGGGACGAAGTGCACCCCCCGCTGCCTAATAGCTGGGCATTAAATTTGTCAGTGATATTGCTGGATGGGGTCTGCCCTTGCTCGCGCCGTATCATGAATGGTACGGGACAACTGAAATATGCCGCCGCTCGTGCTTTCATCCCCTCGCGCCGTCGCGAAGGGGATGACTCGAATATGTGCCGGACAATAGAAAGCGAGATGCAAAGACACCGCTCGAATGAACCCCCGCGTTTCGAGGTGTTGTTCTTTTTTATCACGTGTGTCGGCCGAAAATTGGCGTTGATCTAGCCATTTGACGATGATATTGTCCGATAGAAGGACATACAAAAGATATTTGAACATCAAAATCGTAGAAGTTATATATTAAAAAATTTCAAATATTTTCTAAAATATTATAACATAATAAATATAAAAATCTAAAAATTGATTTTGTATTCCGTAATTGTTTTCCACAAAAAATCTGAAAAAAATTCACATTTTATATTTCAAGAAAATAACTTTGCAAATAAGAGCAATCATGACTCAATTCAAAATATCCCCGATATAATAACATTTACGTGAATTATAAGGGATTTATTTTCTTGAGCGGATCGCTCAAGAAAGCGCGCTGCGGTCCAGGGATGCTGCAAAACCGTGTTTTTTGATAGATCATCAACCGCGGCTCTCTCGCTGGAGTCCAACGAAAGGAGATTGCCAGGAACGCTAAAATAGCAAATTAGGGAATTCCAAGAGATTCTTTCCTCCTCCTCTCTCTCTCTCTTTCTTCTTGTTCCCACGATCATTGTCCTCATCCTGTTTTGATCGTATAAAACTTTTTTAAAATGTTAAAAGATTATAATATTAACGTGACGCTGCAGTTTTGATCATTATGACATTTTCCATTTAATTTTTTAATAATATAAATGTTTAATATATATTTTTAAAATTAATATATATTTTTAAAATTAGTTCTTATATACTATTTTTCTCTTATGCATACTTGATATCGCTTTATCATTATTTTTTTGCTATGCCAGTTGGGAAATAAGGATTAACGAGGCAATTAATATGGATTGATGTAACGATGATATCGAGGAGTGGATGCAATATAAGAGAGCAGCTCGGAGAGATAGCTTTATTGTTGCAATGACTAAAATATATTACTAATGCAACAGTAGCGCCGATTCAGCGACAAAGATTGCGAGCAACTTATAATCACAACCACGCCGTTGTGACAGGATCGATTAATCATCGCATTCTCATTAAAACGCCCAAGGAAAAACCTTTGAGTTCAACATTCAATGAAACGACGACGAGTACTTCTGTAAATCAAGAAAATAGAATTCGCAAAATATTACAATTTTATTTCAGGACGCAATCTCATTGCGATCCTTTTTGTTCTTCGCGACTACTTTTCGCTGCCCGCGCCTTCTCCTTTTCTTCATCTTCTTGCTCTAAATATTTGTCCCACTTATCCAATCGCGCTTCAATTTCTGCATCAGTTTCTGTAATTCTAAAAAACACATTTCGATACATTTACAGCGAGATCCTTGACTGCATGCAGTGATTTACTGAGATACATATGAGTTGATAACGTGTTGAAAAAAAAAATCTGTGCAACACAACATTTATTACTAATTTAAACAAAAAAGAATTTATCAGCAACTGAATAAATAGTATGCATACCACAAGAGATACTCAATATTAATTGCTCAGTCGATGAACAAGAACGAAGAACATAAATATTATCCAACATTTTTCGAAAACATCGAAAAGATGAACATTATTTACATAATCTTTTATGCAAATAATCTTACAAGCAAATATGTAAAAAAATGTAGAAATGTCTGCATCAACAACTATCGGTAGTATTGACCCTGAAGCCGGTATAGTAGGAAGCAGCGTGGTATAACTTACTTGTACTTGGTTTTGCCGTCCCAGATCTCCGCCGAGATCTGCCTCTTGCTGAACCAACGGCCGTTCAAAAGCTGCACACAGGCTTGTGCTTCTGCCGGCTCTCGGAATGTGACCTGCGCTACTCCTTCAGGATGCCTCTAAGAAAAGAAAAGACATAAAAGCGCTCCGTAGAGCGCGAATCGCCCTATGCAGATCATTCTATTTTATTGAACAGCAACAGGCTGTCTATTGGAGTCAACGTTAACGTTAGAAATTAAATAAAGTATGGAAAAATAATAATAAATTTTGAATTCTGTAATAAAAACAATATTATATTTTGCTAGCAAACTTTCAAAAAAACTTTTCTGATATTTACATATTTAAACGCAATTAACTGACTTAAATAAATCAAAGTCTATATATAAATAATTAAATAATTATTTTGTTTTTAATACGAATATTAATTTAATGTAATTTTGAAAAAAAAATTTATTTTTAACGCGATATTTTCAAATCCTTATTTTCTTATGGATTAAAAAATTACTTTAAGGTTCCGTAAAACTATCAGCGGATCTCCTTTGATCCATGACTTATATCTTACACAAGCACGACACTAATAGGTCATGATTCATCAAGAACACATTGGCGCTAACACGTGTTTCCAAAGTAAAAAAAAATAGCAGCGAGATGCCTAAATTACATAGCGGAATATGAAATTTCTTGCGTAACTTTCTAAATCGATGCTATTTTGCGTGACGACCAAACGCAGAAAACCAGTATAATAAAATTAATTTATATATAATTTTCGAGATATTCAAGTCTTCCTTGAATTAAAAATTCATTAACCGAATAAACAAATATTTCAGACAAAGTTGATTGAAGCAACGGATAAAAAAAGACGTTGCAATAAAAAATATAAATTCCTACTATAAAAAATAAAGGTAATCTTAAATTTTTTATTTCAGAAAAGGGATTAAGGGAGACAGAATTAAATAAACAGCTATATAAAAAAAAAGAAATAAGAACAAGCGAAGCGAAATAGGAGTCACACGTCGTCAGGATGGAATGCGCTTTGACATTGAATAACTTCACGGCTGAGGCGCAAAGACTGGGAGTGTCTTGCCTTCCGCCGATTTATGGGGCTAGGGGCATCCCCTTTCGAAGGCGTTTCTCAATTCGCCTTTTCTGTGAAATGTATTCGCTAAAAATACGGTACTCAAAAAGATCACTCGCAGTGTGGAAAACATAACGGTTTTGCAAAAATCTTGTTTTAAGCCTGCGTATCAAGAATTGATTTTAATTCGCGATATCTAATTTTCCGATTTATAAAATACCCAAGAATTAAAAATTTTGCATTATTATTATTAATAGTTTTTATCGAATAGTGCGAAGAAATAAAGAAAAACTCACATCATAAATGATGACTTTTCTGACGTCCCCGCACTTCAGACACTCGGATCGGATATCCTGTTGATACTCCAGAAGCAGCTGCACCTCTTTGTCGAAATCTTCCGGGGTGAAAAGGTTCTTTATAATAACAACCCTTTCACACTTCAACGGTTCACCCCGCATGCGCTCCGGTCGCCAATCGAATAATCTACAAACAAATAAGCAACGACATAAGGATAATGGAAGATATGAGATTTGCATTTAAATTGATTGTAATTGCTTTTCCTCCTGTAAGCGATATAATATAGATATACAAATGAAATGTTGTCGGCAATCAAGAGCTCTCTCTCGCCGCGGAAAAAATGTTGTCCCCCCGAGAGCCGAAATAATGAACGGAACATGACCTCCGCCAGCGATCCGACGACAAATCAGATTAGTCGGTACAGTTGAATAGACAATTGGCTCGATTTTTGGAGCAGGGAGATATTTCTTTGATTTGCTTTTAAAAAGCGCCTGATAACGTGAATTTGTTCCGACAATTCTGGAAGAGAGCTTCGATTTCACAAGAGAGTCTGATCACGAGCAAGGGCGGTTTCAAGGAAAACGCGATTTACTACCTGGAAGGCGAATCGACGATCAGCTATTCAATATCCCTCACACATATGTTCGCAATAAACCGATATATATGTATATAGATCAAGTGACCGAGTTGCCTATCTTTCCATCCGCCTTATTTATCGACTATCTACATTCCGAAAATTCGTTTCTATATACTTAAATTCCTATTAGCAATGTTTGCGAGAAGTTTTAACAGCATGTATCTTGAGGTATCGTACTGACGAAGATATCAGCGAATTATGGGTTCTGCATCTCGTTCGGTTCTCCGAGCTATCACGATATCACGTCAACTCGCTGCTGCCATTATTGACTGACGTATCTCAATGGTTAAAGATGCCGACAAACGCAGACTGATAGGGCGCAAATTGTCGGTGCCGAGTTGCATAATCAAGACCAACCCGTCAGCCGTGAGAACTGGCGCGATGATTGATCGATCGTGGCTCACGATTCGCCTTCTCGGAACAACTCGGCGGAGATAATGCCGATAGGAAATGCTATACGACAATTTACGGGTGTCGAAAGAGCATGTTGCAAGGAGCAAACTTCCGGCCGGCGAACGTGGGCCTGTAACGTTCGCCAATAACTGGTTTTCGCGAAGTTCAGGGCGTTGACCCTGCGCTCGCGACCTACGCCGGATAACGAGGCGATGCAACGATGAAGACGACAAAGATACCGTCGCGACCAAACAATGCAATAAAACTCGATGGCGCGAAGAGATTAAGACCGACGATTAAGAACGACGCCCACGAGACGCAAGATATAAATATCATAAGAACTGCTTTACTTGAAGAAAATTATGATTGTTCCTAAATTTAATTATAATTGCACTTTAATCTGATTCTAATTGATTGAATCCGTAAAGAATGTCCTTTAGATCAAGCGTCTCTGTCTTTAATCATAAATAATTTAGCTTTCATTATACATACGAAACAATCGTTGAATACATTGAAGCATGCGCTAGACAAAGTCAATGTCATTCGGCATAATCATACGCTTCGATTAACTGGTTAAGCTGCTGCTTGCTGCAACAATCCGTTTGTAAATACGCCGTGCCCGCATAATTTTGGGCCGGCCTGTATGCACAGACGGACAGACTAAATGTGGGTAATCGACGTGCGCAGCTGCCTCTGCCGGAACCGCCAACGCCAAGCAGTCTGGCGGCTGCAAATCCAAAGCCGATGGCAGTGCAATTATAAGAGCCTTTACACACATCGCGGCACGTGTAATGCGGAACACGTATCACGAGCTCGTTTTTTTTCCCTCCCCCCCCTCCTTTTTTTAATCATACGTTATCAAGCATCGCATAACACGCATCGTGATTCGAGAGCATGCCGCTTAAACGAGCCGCTTGCGACACGTGTGTACCGCGGTGCGTAGAAGCCTTAATAAGATGCACACGCGCGGCGGCGGATGCATCGTGGCTGAAACGTATCTTGATCCCCGAGGGATACGCCGTCTCGCACGAACGCGAGCGAAAAGAGAGATGAATGGACCGGAGAAAACCGAGGAGAAACGCGACCGTCTCGATTTCGCAACGGCGAGCACGAGTTATATACGGGCCCGAGGAAGTGACACCACACGTGCTTTAAGCGTCGCCGCGAGCACTTGACACGACAAGTATTTGTTTGGCAACTACTATTCAAATGTTAATTAATCTTTAATAACAGTTCTTAACGTCGCTTGGCGCTTCAACATGTAAATACTTATGAAGCTTGTAAAGACTCACTTTTCTTGCATCTTCTTCTGCGCTCCTTGTCCTTTTTTTTCCGCTTCGGCTTCAACGCGGGATCGTATGCGCCCTTCATCTGAAACTTCGCCCTCTGAACCGACAGCGTTTTTCCTCGGATTTGCGAGACGTCTAAGATTTTCAGCGCCAGATCCACCGACTCGACCTGATAACAAGTTTTAAATAATCAGATGAGGAGTCGCGAATGCGTTAATGCTCATTTGTGATTAAATGAAAAACAGATATGGCGATTTAAAAAGTTTTTGGCGTGTCTTGTACCGAAAGTAATTAACGCAGGACGTGAAATAGGCAGCGTTAATAGGCTGCAGTTCCTACTTATTGTGCCAAAGTAATGGAGCGCCATTGTTACCTGGCGATGTGTGGGTGATAGGTTCGTGATAAAAATTCGCGATCAATTTAAATACGTTTCATCAGCCGGTTACGCCCACAATAATTACGCCGAAAGAAAAAAAAAAAACAAATTCCGGCTTACACGCGAAAGGACTGACTCTAAATTTATGGAATGTGGGCGTATTTCTCATTTAACGGCCACTTATAATTAAGCGGATCTCGGTCCTTTCATTACGCAATCCGGTCTTGCGGAAAAACCTGTCGTATGTTTGCTCGCATAATTAAAATTCTCTGCCGCAATCTTATTAGCCCATAAATAAATAATAAACTAAATTAATTTAAATTATATCATTGCTTTCAATAATGACTTAAAGATGTTGTTAAAAACTTTTTTCCAAGTTTTATGAGAAAAAATATTCGAGGAAATCTTCAGTAGCACGTAAAAACAAATTTAAAAAAAAAACTTTAACCAAAGATCAGAAGATTAGAGATTAGTGAGATTAGTGATTAAACGTGAACCTCGAACTTTCAAGCCGGCAATCCACATTTATATTGTCAAAATCGAGTTATATTTCTGAGGCTTTTTAATGGTTTCAAAGAAATCTCGCAGATCTTGTATGGAGGCGTCATAAAAACTTAAATAACGTATCATTCTGACAAACATCTTCTGGAAGCTATATATAGATCGTCAACTATACTCGCAATAGTATTCCAAGAATCATTTTCAGCTGTTACGCCATCGTTCGTTTTAGGCATTAGATACGTTTAAAAGCGTATAATATATTTATCAGAAATAGCAAATCCGTTTCCGCGGTAATGGTGTCACGCTTATTTACAAAATTTCGTAACATATAAACAGCTTAGGGTCATTTTAACTGCACTATTCACAGACGGAAATAGGACAGGAAATAATATTTGCCAACACTCTTCTCATTCTTTAAAGAAAGCTATGACGCAATTATTATGCGTCGATATAGGGCGCGCAAATAAAATTTACAAAGAAAAATACTTTGACAAAATTCGAGAAAAACTTTTCACAGCGATGGAAATTCTCGGAGAAAAAAATCCTTGCAGCACGACATCCAACAATAGTTATTCGACCAAAGTTGTGCGCATCATTCAAATATATTTTTACAAAAATCTTTTCTGAACTTATAAATAAAATAAATTGTGCATTATTCATAATTCGTTATGAGAAATAAAATTTGTAATGTAAATTTTTTGGGACTGGCTCTCGTCTCGCACGCATTCGGCGTGATAATACGCGATGAAGCAACACACAACCAGAATGGTGAGTGTCTAAATGTGCACACGGAGTGATGCCGACGATGAATGACGTAACGATCCGGAGACAAGTCTCCCTTGTAACGATGACCTAAAAAATAGGCTTCCCTGCTGTGCTTGATATCTCGAGATCGAGAAACCAAGCAAAGAATATATTCCAGGAAGTATTCAAAGACGCAATGATTTACCGTCGACCCACTTAGGGTCGAAATTCCTAGATTCGAGACGATTCGCCATTTCTTTTCGTCTCTCCACTATCGACCGAACGGAAGCCGAAAGGAAGAATAATTCACAAATTCAATTCGATTTTTTGTAAAATTCTTACAAATCGAGTGCTCATAGCCATTTTTACAAGAATTTCATCTCTTTAGAGAGAATTAAACAAAAAGAAAGCATCTAATTTTGACGCTGTATTCATGAGCACGTGGGAATTCTGGATTCAAGGATACCCACGCAAGGGCTAAGGCTCACCTTAAGCACACCTTAAGAACCTGCAAACATAAAAGGGCCTCGCCATTCCTTTGACGCATCATCCTGCACACCCACGCGCCAGACAGCCTCGAGGCTCCACTCTTTTTTTTTTTTCCTTTTTCTTTCAACACGTCTCGCTTTCGTTTAGCCCTTAACCGGCGCGAGCGGAAAGCGACACGACTGCTGACGTCATCATCTCCACAGGACTCTCGCCAAGTGATTTAAATAGAATCTCCTTTCTCAATTCCTATCGCGCAATCTGTCTTCCATGAGACAGCGCTATTTCCACGCCGCGAATATTACTGTTAGATTTCGATACCCGGTAAGTATTCATTATACGCTATCGAGGAAGCGATCACGCGGCTCATACGAATTATCCTCCCCCCTCCCCTCCCCCATTAGGACTAGTTTCTCGGAAACGCTTTGATTTAAGGTCTACTCCGCTAAAACAAGATTAAGGTGGGGATTGCACGGCCACGCGCGTGTCGACTAGATAACGCGTGAAATGGTAATCTACATAATCGGCGCGTAGCGAGATAGATTATCGTTGCTCGCTCGTAAACGCCCAGCGATGATTAAAATGCTGCTTTTGTGGGAATGATTTCAGTCTATCGAGGGCGCTGTGAGCCCCGCGCATAACGACCGGCGAGAACGGGATCGGACTTATTGTCAGGCCGCTCGACCACCCAGACGCAGCTCCCGCGGTCATCTCAGCGGCACGGCCTATGTTAGATCACTGCAATTACAGTATACCCGCGGCATCCAGTTCACGTTTAAATTATACGCGTTCCACCGCTCGGTACACACGTAACACGTTACAATCGTCAGCGGTGCGGTCACGTCCCTGAGTAATATTTTCCCCGTCCACCAGAGAGATTATTTAAACTCGCTCGAGTTTCCTCTTATTAACACGTTTGCAGGTAACGCATATGAATGGCGCTTTCGGCGGAAAAGCGTGCCTTCGTGTGCTTACGTGCCGCTCGGTTCTCTCATTTTCCGCGCAGTCACACAGCCACGTACCAAGAATACATAAATTAAACAATTACGTGCTAACTGCATGCGAAAGTGCTCTCTGATAAGATAAGATTCCCCGCCGAGTGCACACATCGCGCGGTGTGATTTCTTTAGTGACTAACGCCCGCAATGATGCAATCATGCAAATATGAGTTTCAGATATCATAGAATAATAAAGCTGCATTATCATACTACAAGAAGCTGAATGAATGCAAAACGATGCGCATGTACACGAGATAATATCGGAACTATTCATTTATCCGTAGCCTGCAGCGTTGATTAATGATAGAGAGACGAGATTTCGAAGTGCCATGCATCATCATTATTGCGAGATGTCGTGTTCCTAACACGATTCGAAATGAATACTGACGTTCCCTCCTAAGCAACTATAGTTAGCCGACGTCTATTATCATTACTATACTGGCGCTCGGCCAAAATTTCTCCCTGACATGCATTAAATACCGGTTGCGCACGCGACAAGATGATTCACGGAAATCCTCGCGGAAAGTTAATATGTAAAAGAAAAAAAAAAAAAAGAAACATCTTTTCAAGAAGAAAGCATCGTCCGACAGATCGTTACTTCCTCTAACGTTACACGGCGGCCTTACGTATTCCGCTCACTTGCAAGTTCTCGTAATTGAAGAGACAGGTTGAAGTGCAAAGCTAAGGAACGCGCTGTACAGACTCGCTCGAAAGAGGCTGTCGGTGGAAAAGATCTCCGATACCAAGAAGTTGAAGCTAGTCTGGTAAGTAAAAACGCTTCCAGCAATATTTCATCGCCTTCCTAATTCGCAATTTGGATGCAAGGACTAAATCATAAAGCGTGCCGAGCAACAATGACGTCGTCGCGTTGACTTGACGAGGACTATATCGCGCGCAACGTCAACTCAGACGAAGGGTCAGACTGAATTATCATTAAAACGATCGCGCCGTTGGTGCTACGCCTACACTATTGACATTTAAGATCGCGACTGTCCCACTAATTTGCATCGCGAGAAATTCCAGAGATGAGTCAGTCAATTGCGCACGACGATCGCGCATGTAAGTTTCATTACACCGTGGCCGATTTACAGTTACACCGAACGTGTCATTGCGGAAAGCGCGCGACGAATTTTTATGGCCTAATTTGCCTCGTGAAATTGCGACGCCAATCAAGCAGTCCTTAACGCAAAAAGTCGCGATGAAAGTCGTTATTATCATGTAAATGTCGGGAAAAAAAATTTTGCTCAGATCAAATTGACAGATATAATAAAATGCGATTTTTGAGATCGATAAAATATTACTCATTTGAGATGCGGTATTTACTATAAAATAATCTCATGCTTGTACGCGAGATAATGTATCGCCGTATCTTGCAGCGTGATATCTCAAGTGGTACCAGCCATCTCCGGTTTCTCTTGAGAAGCGTATTTCGGGATGCATTTTAGTTTGCAGATAAACGCCGAGACAGGCTGCAGAATGTCTCTCGAACTAAGAGTAAGATTCTAATCATCAAAACGTACTTAAATTAGAATCAAATCATTTTCTAACAACGCATTTCCTATCGCTGTATTTTATTCGGAATGATGCAATATTTAAATTCTGTTGCGCGACAACTTGACATTCTATTAGAATGTCAACTGACATAAAATTTTTATGAATCTCGTGAAGAGAATAATTTGTTTGTGTCTCACCAAGATATCGTGTGGGCAAATTTTCATCTGCAATTTCTTCGAGCATAACGTTTGATAAATATTTCGTCCGGCTTACGATTGAGTTTCAATGCGCGCTATTTCGCCATTTCGTTTCATTGTTTTCAATCGAGAAACTGCAGAGCCCGCGCGATAAAGCTCTCCCCATATTAGGCGCAGTGTCTTTCCTTTTCTAAGAGACGACACGCATTGCAGACGTATATACTCGCGGCACATTTTGCAAAACCGGTTTCCGGGATTCCATAAGGTCTGAAGTGCGCGCGAGCGCGCACGGGAGCGCTCGTAAAAAAATCGGCGGTTTTGTTGCTCGTCGTTTTTGCGCCACAGGGACGAGCGGCTTCTCGGCGACGGTACAATTGGAAACTGTTAACGCCTCGATGTTTAACAAACGACAAACGCGGCAGAAATTATGATCCCGCAAATGGAGAATTTGCAGCGGCGAAATTTCCACGTGACGGAAAGCAATGAATGAATATGTGCGTCGCCGGCGGCGAGACATCCGTTATTTCGGTATTTCCTGTGGTCTTCTACTGGCTACACATGGCCGAGGATGCTGAGTGAAGCGCTATTTAACTATTTTAAGAGTAAATGTTTTTTTTACAAATAGTTTCTACAGTTTCTACAGTCAACGTATCAGATGTCTCACCCTAACAGCAGGAAGCTTTAATGATGTACGATGCACCTGACCTTCCTGCTCGCTCGAAAATGCCGATCGTTTCCTTTCGCGGCAAACGCACGCGATGAAGAACGTCAGTAAATCTAGTCGGGACAGTCTCGACGAGATCGAGTTCTCAACGCCTCGATTGCAGTGGCAAATGGCGATAATATGTTATCTGTACAGCATAACAGCATTACAGTTAATCTAAATTTTAAGAATACTAATTTCTCAAGTGCCAAATATCTATTTTCGCATAATTTCATCGCTGATCCAGTTTTTGCATAATTTCATTTGCCTAACGTATTCCCGCATCTCCTTGAGAGAAACTTGGAAATGCACGTAACGTGCGTTAAAATGTACGTGATTTTGCTCAATACAGAAAACGTGTTTGGAATAAAACCTCTCTGCACTACGTTTTTACTTATCCTGAATTTAAAATATTAAAGGAGAAAAATAAAGTTCAATATTAAAAATATAATATAATAGAAAATTTATTCCAGGTATCGAAAGACTCGTGTTTTAAAATGCAAACGCCGAAGGAACAATGCGTGTGTCTGCGAGAGAGCGATTTGAAACATTCATATGACGATAAGATTATTCAAGCGCGGAAAAAGTGATCTAACACTTCGAAATGGCTGACTTGACGTAATGTTACACTGACGTAATCGTATGGTGACGATGATTCCCAAGCCATAAACATGTTCGCGACGTCTACATCTCCATAATGTCTGATGCAATATCTAGAATTACTTGAATCTGTCAATCGTTCCGTTGTGATTTCAGGCACGCAGTCATCAGCCCACCCCAAATTGCAATTCCGCGAATTGCAGCATTCCCCGTGTACCTTTCAAAGCATCAGGAATGTGCAAATGAATCGCCGTCATAGTACGTCATGAACGTAATCCCCCCCTCCTGCCCGACTCCCTCGCAAAAATGCAACTCGTGTAATAATAAAAAAAAAAAAATTAAAAAAAAAATTAAATAAAACGCGCGCTTTGATGTCAAGAGCATAAAATATTCTTTAAATCCTGCATTCGACGTGCAATATTTAAATACTCCAAATTATCTGCGCATGATTAAATTGTACAATATTTAAATGTTATCGGCGATTGGAATGAAATAGTTTCATCATCGTGTTAATTAAAATAATATCGTTATTTATACATTCACTGCGCGCGATAAACTCTATGCAAAAATAGCTATCTATCGTAAAAAGGAGAGACTTGGATATAACTTAATTATGCAACTGTGATAGCGACTGCAGGCGCCGTACAGAGTGCATAATAATTTTCATGACCGAGCGCGGTCGGCGTATTTTTCCAAGTTATTAAGTAAAATGAAACGTACGATATTTCTGACTGCGTGTAAATATGTAATGCAATAATCAGAATCCTCGAAATATTTTCGAGTGCGTTTTTTTCTTTCAATTCAATCCCTGACTTCTACGATTATTGTCTCATAACTCGAACACATTCGGCCGTGCCAAATACTCGCAAGTGCTAAAACTGGTGGAAATTATATTAAGCACAAGATTTGCCAAATCCGATTTAACTGTAGCGAATTACGCTTTTAGCTTCTGCGATATCTCAATTTGCCGACACTTTCTTCTATTTCTGTTACATTTTACAATCAACCTCATTTGGACGTTAACTCTCCGAAAGATACTATCGGACAGATGTTAATGCACCCAATTGGCAGCCTGCCATTAAACGAAAACCGCTCTGGCAGCGCGATAATATTTTAGAGAAGTGTACGTCCAATTTGAGAGGTAACACTTTCATATAATACTTTTACATATTATTGAATGAATTTGTCAACGTATCGATTGTCACACGGATTTAATACTAATTAATGACATTATTAGCATTTCAGGTTTATTCAAACATTATTCAGCGATTAAACAGAAATATTGTGAATCAGTAGATAAGAATACAGCTGAAGTGTTCTCGAATAATTCTTTTTTAGTGTCATAAATTCTGCAATAATTTCAAATTACGATCATCGGAACCGCTTTTGCATAGATTATTTTTTTACTCACTTTAATATTAATGTTTACATAATCTAGCCTCATTTAATATGCCAAAATGATAATAATGATTCGTTTTCTTCCTGTTTCGATATTCACGAAACTCTCTTAGCTATAAATTTTTTCGACATCATATCGCCTTGATCCCTTCTCACTCTGAGTTGAAAAACTGATGCTGATATACGTTCCAGCTTCACTTTACAGTAATTATATTCAGCGCAGATGAATATAAGCACTTTAGTTTTGTTGACGCGCAGTTTCTCAAACATTTCGCGAGTTGTCAACGCAGCTGCGGCAAGTTTGTTCAATAATACGTACATGTTGGCACATAATTATCGCACGCTCTATGCCTACTAAGTTCATCTATCCTTGAGTTCTAAGACGATACATTCGTGGCATTATGCAAAACGTGAACAGAAATCATTAAATCTCATGTATTCATATACCATGCGTAGTGATAAATTCCATTATTTCGAAATCATCATAAAGATCAAGATGAATGGGAGATATTGAAGATTTTCTTCGGAATATTTAAAAATAATAAAAAAATGTTTAAAAAATTTTGTTCCAATTTTAGTATTTTTGCATAAAGCGTGAAGTAATGCGATAAAAATAACTGTTATGCATGCGAGCGTGAAAGATTTTGATGAGATGTTTCCTCGCGAAAGCGTCATATTCGAAAAATAAGCAGAAAACACGAATTAAAAGCGTGAATAGTCCGCCTCAGCGATCTGCGCGAATAACAGCGTGAAGCGTGTGATGAGCGAAACCGGGTGGTAAGCCAAACAGATTCTCTCTATGAGGGATCTGTGGGCTCCTCGGATCTAGAAAACGATCGCGGTAGCATCTGGCGATAGGGGAGGCGCGAGAGAATTCCGCTCGTAAGCTCAGAGCGCGCGAAGGTACGCGCCGAGCGGAATGGAAGCAGCGGCTTCAGTCGGCCGCGGACCTTTGCCGTAGAACGGTCTCTACATCCGGATAGTCTGGGCACCCCATCGATCGCGATAAAGTACTTCGAGTCCCGACGTGAGCAAGAGTGGCAAAATCATATCAATCGATTTTTTTTTGTCACACGGTTTCGCGAATTCGCGAAGCGGTGATTGCCAATGTGTGAAATCGGAAGCGAGACGAGGTTCAAGGAACGAGAATGAGGACGATCTTGCACGCGTATCGCGACTTCTGTATCGAGTACTCCGGCGAGTAAACGACGTGTGTGGGATATAGTCATGTGGAAGTGCTGGATCCTGTTTCTGTGCGTCGCAGGTAATTAATAGTTTCCGTAAAGTGCGCAAAGTGGATGTAGCGGGTAGCGGATGATTCTAATCAAAGAAACGATCCGAGATGTAACGATCCGAGAGTGAACACAAGGAGATGCGATTCATTCAAAGAAATAGAAAAAAAAAAACGATTATACTAAATCCTGAAATGCGAATTGCAATTAAAAATTAACAAATTGTCATAATACAGCGAAATGTGTGTATTCAGACAAAGTACTCTGCAAAAGCTTGGAGTATCTTATCCAATTTGCGAAGATTGGTGGATGCCAGTATGAACAGAGACCAATTTCATTGAAACAACGAAATTATAGTAATAAACGGTCATTTAGCGGAAAAGGATCGACCTCCCTCCTGTAATTACGTTGCCCAGCACAATATCATAATGATATAATTAACACGTGTTTATATATTTAACCCCCATCGCAATTTTGCTAACCATTGAGATACAAATAATATCAATTGCAAAACGATATATCAAATCAATTAAAATAACAAATTTCATTTTTGATATCTATTATAATTCTCTCTGCAAAACTCGATTTTTGTAAATTAGATTTATGTATTAAATAATTAGAATGTAAAAATAATTTTTTATATTTGTTACAATGTAATTTAATTTCTACAAATTTATCTGCCACTCATTCATTCACTGATAAATAAATTAATTAGGGCATTGGAACAAACTTAAAAGGAATACTAGATATCGCTAAGAATATTTGTGATAATTCTTGGAATGTTGTAAGCGTAATCGTGAGAAGATATCTTAAGATACGTTCAATGCTGAGACACAGTTGACTTAGTTATTTGTACCCATTAGCAGTTACGTACTTTGCTAATTGGCAGCGTAATAACAGCTTGAGATAGGCTAAGAGTTTACGATAATGTAACGATAATATCACGATAATGTATATAATTGTTATTTGTATGAGTTTTAAGATTGCATGATAAACATGACGTGACCGAATGTCATTAACTGAATGTCATTAACTATCATAGGTAAACGATGTGCGGGACATGATAGAAACATTAAATAAATAAAAATAGTTAGCCTGCGGAGTCGTTCTTGGAAGTATGCTGATATTATTGACAGAAAAAATGTATACTTGAAAATAATTTGCCACGCAATGCTTCTGAAAGAGGTGTGCTCTGATTATAAATTCTGTTTAACTTTCTATCGAGTTGTTTTCGCGGGAAAAACTGCGACTGACTTTGAATAAAATCTCGAAGAGCGAGCCTTAAAAGGAATGTACGTTGCAAGGTGCATACTTTATATCGCACGTACGCGAAATTTTTGCATGTAAGATTAACCAGCTTGCAGGTGGAACGGAATACGTTGCGCAGACAGTTTTGGGACGCGCATAATTTACCGTGCATCTTGTGATGGAAACCGCGAATAAATTAACGATCGAAGCACGTGTCCTCGTCCGACAGACGATAGATAGGTTCCGAGCAGACGTAACGGTCTATTTTCGCGGGATCGAATCTAGGCAGGAACGAACAAAACGATACCATCGGATCGGATACGCGTCGAGAATAGCTTAGATCGCAACAATGCCGCCACCGCAAACTCAGAAATTCAAAATTCGAGCCAGTATTATTATCTTGTCCGAAACTTTCGATCGTTTGATAAAATTTCTTTAAGTGAAAATGACGCAATCGCTCGACTGCTAATTACGTTGTTACAACTTACAACTTTAATTGAGCCGGATTAATCTTTCTTTGATAACGCGATAAGTAAAAATCAAAGGTTATTCCATTAGTTGCTAATAACACCAGTTTCGTGAAAAGGGCGATAAATTCTGGAAATATGAGAAGAATTTCCACCCAAGCCACCGAAGTTAACCTTGTGCCATAAACGCTGTATGAATGAAAGTGCAAGTTGTGGGTAGACTATACGCCATATAAATATGACTCCCTGTTGCGACTATCGATAACAGACGATTAGACGAGCTTGAAAATATCATATGACTCGAGGAGATTTGTGCTCGAAGGTTATAACACGATCGAACAAACCTTTCGATAAGACGTTGAGAATATTATCAACTTCGTAACTACAATTAAAACAGTTTAGCTGGAAGCAGCTTCAACTAACTTTGACGCACGTCGAGGAATTATGCGAGTTCGAAAATTACACCCCACGGCATTTTGCAACTTTCTATAAATACATGACGGTATTTGCACGTCCCTAATAAAAATATTTCTAATAAAGTGAATTTTATATATTCCATACATTTTTTCATATTTTCCACATCGGTTTTTTTCGACGTAAATATTTAACGCTTGAATATCCAATAATTCTATAATCAATGTTAATAAATCTATAATCATGTTTTTACGCCTTTTACAAATAGAGAACAATTTTCCGTGGCTTCCTGCACGGTCGAGTATTAACGCGAATAAACCACCTGTGCGTCTTTTTTTTTTCGCTACATCCATATTTTTTTCTGCAATGAACGTAGAAGTTATTTCGGTATCAGCCAGCAAGTAGGCACACCTGTGATAAGAAGACGCATACAAATTAAATGATTACACAAAAGAGATACACGCAAGTGCAAACCTGACAGAAAGAAATTTATTGCCGCTTGTCTCACACTCACGAAAGTGCTAAGAAACAGAGTTCTGTGATTCATGAAATTTTAAGTTCTTTGAACTAAATTCTTGAAATGAATAAAACACATTGTAGCGCAGGAAAATTTAATTTTGTCATCAATATCCGCTTACCCCGCAGAATACTACAGAACCAGGAAACGAGGATGAATTTCTACATTAGAGATTTAGACACGGCCTCTAGGAACCTGAATTTCCTGCCGGAATGAAAAATACAGCGTACGTGCTGGCCATCTCGTCTGTAATGCCTCGCATTTTAAAGCACGTCGTACATCGTCGCGCCTAAAGCTACAATAAACTTTAGCATAGTTTGCAAATTCACGTGCAACAATAAGGTAGAAATGTGCAACTCGGGCATTTCGTGAATTTTACTTCACAAAAATTTTACAGCTTAAATTTTACCGCTACAATTTTTAATCATATAATTATCTTTTACTTTTTTTTTGTACAGAATGCTTCTGAGTCATTTTGCTTAATTTGTTTATTCAGTCATAATTAATTCTGATTGCTACAGATCATAGTATGATTTTCAATGCGATGACTAACTAATATTGATCACGCTTTAATTAAGAGGCGTGGAATAGCGGTTAGCTACTAGTTTTTATTGTTTGCAGAAACCAGTTCTCGTGGAATTCTGAATGTGTGAATGTGTACTTGTATGCGAGAGACGTGGAGTGCTCACTTCAGCATGCGCTACGATTATAGCTGATTAATTCCCATACTGACCTATTTAAATTTGCGACCTATATGTATCATCCTGCGTACATATGCATCGCAGCTTAAAATCAAGAGTCGACGAGTGGTAATTGAATATCTACTTGGCGTGCAACGCAACATAAATCTAAACGATATAAAACGACACATGTTGTTTGTGCTTCCTATTAGCGATTGAAATGATTGGATGATTTCATCAAAACCCAATAAAATAATAATATAATTAAAAAAAAGAAAAAACGAATAAAATAACGCTAATCTCGACTAAAAGTAGTTCGTTATTTTTTTGCACGTGTCGTAATCTTGTATGTCTATTTTTTTTCTACTCATTACAAAGATAATAAAAAAAACGCACGACAAAGTTGTTTTACAATTCATTGACCTCCATCATTTATCATCGAGGTCAAAACTGATAGCATGATATCAAAACATTATTCCAATGAAAACAGACTCAAGGTGGTCAAATCTTTTTTTTGCAATTTGTTGATCAAAATTTCTGCTAGAAATTGTTACGAAATGGATGCAGGAAAGCTTGGCCAGTACTCTCGTATGTAATTGTCGTGCGAACGAAAATGTATTTTCCATATTGACGGCCTGCGGGCGGAAAGGTTAAATCTCTGGTATTTATTAATAGTCGTACAGTACTACTACTGATTACGTATCATAAATGAAATTTATGGTGGCATGCGTGCCACGGAATTCGTCTACGCGACGATGACTCACAGAAATGGCTTTTTGAGTAATTAATTGGATGAGATGTCTATGTAAGCACTTTTATAATAGCTAAATCGATTTCTAGTATATTGCCGCACATCGAGCAATCTTTCCGCTCTAATTTTTTTTTTTCTAGATTTCGAATCATAAACTGCTGATTTAGTTCAAAACTTTCTCCAACTCCGAAAGATCCTTACAGTCTTAAATAACTTGAAGCACCGTTTGTATTTTGAGAAGCTCATCAACCGGCGCCTTTATCTGGCGGTTCATTATAGATAACAGTACCTATTGTATGCACAGATCAGCATTGCGTCACTATTATAAAAAAAACTGCTCCATTTATATCTATTTATATCAGTCCATTTTGCTCGAAGGATCTGTCACGCCCCAAAAGTTTCAATCAACCGAATTATTTATTCCTTTCCAACCAAAAGATTGTGCAAAATTATAATAAAGAAAAATTCTTTTCTTCTTTTCACCAATGAGCCAGCACGATTCTCACTGTCGTTCCTTGTCAAATAAATAAAGCTTATAAAATATATATTTGAGGTGTGCATATGAATACAGAGACAAAGTTATTTATATATGTTTACCGAAATACATCGCGGAAGTTACGGGCAGGTGTTTTATCAAAGTGGGGCATTTGCGTTTTAATCATAAATCTGGAAACGTTGCACATTGCTTACTGAATAGAGTTAAATAATCTATTTTACGACACAATGCTTCGTAATTTAATGCTCAATGTTATGTCTTCGCGGTGCAATGATGTGGCGCCTAGTCGCGCGTAAACCGCAGACGGCGTTACATAATGTTTAAATTCCGCTCAAGGCCACGGAACAAAAATGTATTCACTCGGAACGAAACCCATAAGGTATGCGCATAATTTATACCGGTAAAAGAGAACATTTTACCGTACGCATTTCAAAATATCGAGATTTATCGGAACGTAAAATTCCGGCCGAAACGGGACAGCTGATAGTTATCGAACCTGTTGGAAGTTATTAAAAAAGCGAACAATGTACAGCGGGCAAAAAAATATCGAATTAGTTCGAGTTTTTTATTTCTACAAAATCTCATATGTTTCCGGATACCCAGAAAATTTCTAAAATCGCAATTGACGACCGTCGTATCTAACCAATTTTCTTTTCTCTTTTTCAGGTTTATCCTCGGCAATTTTGGACTCGCCGAACCATGGCATTAGCTCCTTGCCGACCAATCAATCGACGACAGTGCGACAATACGAACCGGTAAGACGGTTCGCGTGTCCCGTGGGATTCTTCCGATTGAAGCGATTTTGTTACTACTTGAGCGCCGGCACAGCACCATGGAGGGACGCGTACTTTCATTGCAAGGACAGAAACGCCACCCTGGCTATACTGGACAGAAATGGAAAGGACAAGATACTGAGGAAGTACTTGATGGGGGAGCAGTTCAGTGAGTATAAAACTATTCCCGCGTCCTCTTTTATTCCCGCCTGACTATGACGTCGCGCAACTCCACCCAAATCTACGAACCTCAACAGCAAAATTGGAGCGATGGATCGGCGGAATTTTCAACTGGCAGCAGATGGCTTGGGAATGGGGCGTGACGGGTGAGAAGATGGTTTTCCAGAGTTTCGGGAAAATGGAACCGGGGAAATCCGAGAAGTACGCGTGGCACTGTATTATAATGGATCCCGCATTGAAATACAAGTGGAGTGCGCGGAGCTGCGTCGAACGGAAGCATTATATATGCGAAGTGCCCGCCGGTCGCTTAGGTGAGAAATGCACTCGCTATTTTCACACTCAAACTCGTTGGTAAGATTACACCTATGACTTTTTTTTATTTTTACTATTCAAATATTCATTTCGCGATATTCTTGTTCCATTCAGTCAGAAGACGCAAGAAATCGGACCCTTTCGCGCCGCAAAACCAAAGATTGAAGCCCAGGAAAAAGGGCAAGAAATACTTAGACGAACAAAGAAAATTAAATGAAAGAAAAAATAGTCGAGGAAATTGGAAGAGAAATTGGGCGGACCAAGGGGAGAACCAACAATGGGCCAACGGTGTTAAACTAGGATCGCGGCCACCTTCTAAGTACTAATTTTACTATGTTAAATAAATTTATAGTGTAAAAGTGAAAAAAAAACGTCTTTAACGATCTGCAATTAATTAATCACAATTTCTATAATTAATTAAAATTGCTTTTGACAGAAACAAGATGACGCAGTCCAGAGAGCGTACGCGACATCGTGCGAACAGAACTCATTTGCAACCAGCTGTGCCGAGGGTTGCTCAAATATTGTCCTCAGGGCAGGAGTACGGCGCTTTTCTGGGCGATGGACCAAACAACCGTCGGCCGCAGAGCTTGGCGGATATGAATAATGTTCTCTCGCAGTTCCACAGTAAAATAAACGATTTCGCGCGGGAGGAGGTTTTATTGAAACCGTAAGAAAGAAACTTTAAATGTCGCATCAACAGTTACGCGGTTGCAGCCTTGCTATATAACTCTGTTATACACAATATACGTCACTGCGAAAATTATAAAGCATGAGCTTTTGCTACAACGATACTATCGAATCGCCGAAGCTCTGTCGCAGCCATTTTACCGTAATATATAATTATAATTGCAATTATAAAAATTAATATTGCAGAAAATCGTAAAGAATCTGTCGTGGCCAAAATTAATCACAAAATGAATTCTTATAAAGTTCCTCTATTTAAATGTTTGCGAAAATTTGGAAGATATATTGATTAATCAGTAGATTAGGTATCGATTGTGAAACTGATAGATAATGCTCGTAATATTTAAATAGCCCATCGCAAAATGCGGCACTATTTCTGCCATTTGTCTAAATATTCTCTGTGTATTTATCGCAAAGCATGTAAATTACTTATCGTCTCTCTATCTTTTCGAAGCTAGTTCCATTTCGCAAAGCAATGTCTTACGCAATTAATAGATTGTAATGTGTGAGTAATTTTTATATTGATTAAAAATCTTAAGTTGTCAATGCTTGTCGCTGCACGGCGTTACACGAATTAAATAAATCACCATAATCCATCACTTAATGATTAATTAAAATGTATTCAGCGATATCAGTTTACGTTAATCATAGCGCATAGTTTTTATAAATAAATTGCAGGCAGATAGAGTGAGTCAGAAAGCAAGATAAAGGTCGTATCTTTATTTTTTGATCCACTCTTATGTTCGTTATTTTTTCACCGCTTTGTGTCTGTAAATATGTTAATGTAAGACCATCGATGTACTCCCTACATTTAACAATGTATATTAATAAAATACTGAGATGTGAATTTTTACGGCGTAATCGATATTGTCGGTAACATCAAACTGTATTAGCGGGGTGTATATCAAGGAAAATCATAAAAATCATTCAAGTGTGTTCCTACCTTGATGTAGGTGCAGAGAGCATCCCCCTTTGGTTCACCATTGCCATCTTTGTAGAGTTTGATCTTGTCCTTCCCTCTCTCATCCCTTGCTATGAGGCCACACTTGGCGAAAAGTTGCGTGAGTTCTTCTATAGTAATATCCAGAGGTAGGCCCGATACGTAGATAGCGGTGTTGTGCGCCTCGTCGACCTCAAACCAAGTTGGTGGTTCCTGAGCTTTTCGCTTGGCTTCTGCTTTCCTCTGCTCCTTCTCTTCCTTAGCCTTTTGTGGAGGCGGAGGTTGTTCAGGTTCTGGTGGTTTTGGCTGCGATACGCTGGTATCTGTGAAACCGTAATTCATCTGGTATCTAGCCATGAAATCCTCATCAACTTTTGGAAACCAGGCGTTCTTTTCTTTGTCCCAGAAGTACACGCTGCCATCATTTGGATCTGTATAAGTATGTGTGTCGTTCTCAAAGCCAAAAGCACCAGTTGCACTAACTTCAGGACAAATGCTTTCTTTCTTTTTCATCCCATCAGAATTCTTATTATCGGAGCTCTCCTTCTTATCAACGCTTTCTTTATTATCTTCCTTCACCACCCATTTATTGTTCTCTTGGTCAAATTTGTAGGTAATGTTTGTTGCTTTGTCAGTATAGATATAAGTTTGGCCGTCAAACTCATAGTTCTTCATAGGATCATCTTGTTTCTCTGATTCTTCTGTATGTTCCGTAACTGACTCTGTGTCAGCCATTCTTAATGATTCATTGAATCAACTTCCAAAGAACAAACCTGCAATATAAAAAGAAATTGTTACTGACATATCATCACAAACACAAAGGAAAAATATAAATACGAACATTATGTTAATGCTTTTCATAAATATATTGGTAATATAATATGTTCTAACATTTTGATACAATCTAATGATAGCGTTATATTTCAGCGTTATATTCAACAAAATTAATCGCAAACGTATAATTTGAATCACGAAATAAAATAGAAACTTGCCGAAAAGAGGTTAGAATTATGACGCGAATTGACAGTGGACGAATTCTGTCTTGTTTATCAATATTTTTCTTACCGATCAATTCCACGGCAAGTGTAGCACTAGTTAACAAGTAATTTGCGTAGTTATAATAATAAACACTAACAACAATTATACATTTCTATCATACAACTGACAGAAACCATTCTACATAACCGACATGCGATATATATTAGACGCCATTACAGCTGACTACAGCAGGTGCTACGACATTAACGTCATCTATACATTATGTGAAGCATTAATATATAAAGATTTTGCGAAAACGGTAGATTATTTCAAATATCCTATAGTCATCTGCTTGTAAAGTAAAATGTTCTACTTTTGTTGTTTAAATTAATTAAATTAATCGGGCACAATAATTACAAAATTTTACGCTCCCTATAAACAATATTATAGAAAATTATGGAACAAGCTTATAGTACAAGCTTATAATACATCTTAAACAATAGTATAAGAAATAGAAATAACATGAAATTAATTTTTTCCTGCCTTCTATTTCTGCCATATTAAAAATAAAGAAACGGAATACGTTTTAAAATGGAAGACCAGTCTTTCGACATTGTTAAAGAATCGCGCCGATCGTTCTCATTGTTTATTGTAGTAAAAGGTAGCGACGCCGTTGCTATTAGATTGCCATTGATTTCCAGTTGCTAGGCTACGTGGCCGGCTTGAAAACGCCAGCACCGGTGAGCATGCCTGCTTACCTGGCGGTCAGTCGGCTGCAAGTTGCGCGGCGCAAAGTGTAAGCAAGCATGGGCCTGCCAGACATTGAGACCATACCCGGTAAAATAAAAGAAAACAAAGAGTTATACGCACCTGACGAGTGTCGCACGCACGAATCCGTCACGCACCTCGTATGCTTGTCGACATAAATTATTCTAGATCGTGTAATCACCGTAAAACGTCGGTCGCGATCGATTCCTCGAACAAACGACGTGCACACGGTTCCCCGGCATTATTGAAACCCCTCCGACGTACCCCCTGCTTCCTTTTGCCGGTTGCCGGCGTGAAGCAGCGTGAAGTAAGGAAAATCGATACGCGCGCCACCGTCATCGAGCGATCGCGAGGCGCGTAATTATGTAAAGTCGCGGGATTTACAGTAAATCATTGACTCTCTAAGTCGCAAGTTTAATTGAACTAATAGAAGTTAAACTTTGATCGCGGTCATGAAAGTTTCAAACATAATTGAGACTGTAAAGTTTCATGCGCTGCACTTTGATTCTCATAACGCGTCCCGCAAAACGAGAGAAAAATATTTTTGCACGTATTGCACAGTGAACTTTTTTGTTCTGAATAAAAAGCATGCAATTTATTCGTAAACTTTCGAAAAAAATTTTTATGATGCTATAATTTGCACGATGTGGAATGTACTCAATAGCGGATGGTAGCGGATCGTTAAGAGCGTGTTGCTACCAGCACAATCCGGTCGTTAATCGGCTAATGCCTTCGTCGTGGAACATGCGAGTCATATGCACATTCGTATCATTAACTTACTGGCTGGGTGTTATCGCGCACTGTTATATACAAGTTCGATAAATAAGGTGGGGCAAGAAACAGTAGTTTGTCAGAATGCCGTTCGATTTGTCTAATAACTTTATATATTTATAACTTTATATAGCAACAGAACACTATAAGCGAATCGATACCTAGTAAATAACATAATAAAAATTAAGTTAAATATTACTCTTCATATAAAACAACACAACTTACTTTCTGTTTTTTAACTATATATTTTTATTTTGCATAATGTCGTGTGTGTACAAATATATTTTTATAGAATAAATTTATTTTATTTGTAATATTTGCATCTATAATATAACGTTTTTTTCATAATATATTTTTTACACACACGGTCTTCATAGTGATATTTTTATTCTTAATTTTTATTTTATTTTATTTTATTATATTTCTTAATACTAAATTGTTTTCAACAGCCTGTTTGCATTTTAAATATTTTACATGTGAATGAATTGCTATTCTCGAATAATCATTATCTACTCTAAATTATGTACATATGCTTTACCGTATAATTTAGTAGCTATTAACAGGTCTTTGGGTCAATAACCCTGGAAAATATGCAAACTTCGGATACTATCGATCTTTCGCAGAGCCGAATATACTTGCCTTTGTCTTTTCAAAATTTTATGAACCTTCTTGGAAAGACTGATGCCATTAATAGTAAAAATAATTCAAAAGATCGACAAATTAAAGATCTCAAAGTCTCTAAGGGTATAGAATTGTAAAGATCTGACAGCTGAGCATTGAAATTGTACTTTTAATTACAATCTCCCGACGTGTCTAACAATAAGTTGAGAGACCATTTAACAGAATAATTTGCGCTGAGGCAGTTTGTAGTTGGCTAACGAAGGACAGATGCGTAATGAATTATGCAAAAGGACGCCGTTTGAACTTTTGATAAGACACAAGCGTAAATCTCGAAGGATATATCGTCAGTTTTACGTTATTGACCTTTGCGAAGGGAGGCTGAAATACCACTGTTAATCTCGTGTTGGACGGCATTCGGTGTCTTAACGCTTTTCCGGTCCTTTTTACTTCGCGCTCACTTTAAACTTAATTTATGCCAAGGCTGTATGCAACGATAAGATTTGCCCTCAGCCGTGTTATATTCATAGCGCTCCACCCAAGGCGCTTGGGCGTAGAAGAATATACGAGAAGTGATTTTCTTTTAGAAATTATATATATTTACTTTCGTCATCATTAGCACACGTAGAAAACAATGCTTACTTTTCGAAAACTTCTCTTTTTTTTCTCTTGTAAATAATGAGACACAAACTTTTCTATGGAATATTTTAGAAAACAACTAATAATATTGCCCGTTACCATGTTCGTGTTAAGCCCAACATCATTAAATATACTTTTGTTTAAGTCCGTGATTCGATCGCTACAAGTGGTTCCACGTGCAAGTTTGTGCAATACAGATAACGTATTCGTAATGTATTTATAGCTACGTGACAGAATAATATGCAGCGATTACGATCTTGCATACTGCAAGTATAACGCAATAAATTCTCTGCTGTAATTGGTAAGGATGTGGCATAATTTTAGACACAGATTTTATTTTGCAATAAATTCTCTGCTGTAATTTGTAAGGATGTAATTTTAGATACAGATTTTTCAATAGAAAGTGTGCTGAAGGAAAAAAATCACACGATTTTCAAGTGCAAATCTGAAGATCTATCAATCGAAAAATTTACGCGTATAAAGATAGGCTTGATTCATCTTACCTTCAATATTTAACGATGTATCGATCTTTGCACATTGTAGAGACTGGTGCGGTGTTCACGATCGGCCGCAGCAGATTCGCGGATAACATTGCGTCGCATTTCTTCATACGCAAGGATCCGGTCGTTGCCATCGAGTGTGGAGATGAGCACTCCGCCGTCATTTGCCGTAAGTCTGTATTTTCAAAAATAAAAGAATATTAGAAGAAAAAAAAGAAATAAATCTGGAAAACAGCCTTTGGTCCAGGTTGTATATAAATTAAAAATAAGTCTAAAATTATTTTAAATAAAAATGTTATTAGTTTAAAATAAATTCAAATCGAGTTTAGATTGAATGCAAATTGAACAAAGACATTATTATTTTAATCTAGATTTAAGCTGGCTTATTGAAGTACTATCGAGAATACTATTTCAAGCTAAATTAATTCGATTAACTTGGAAAGTCTAAGTTCAGCTTATTACGAGATTGTCAGGGCATAAAGAAAAAATTAATGGTATAGGTTGATTGTGCTGTCTATCAAATATCGTTAATCGATTCCGTGACATATAGCGTAGACGATAAACTATGTATTCGCAATGAGCGATGTTTGCAAACAACATACCTTTCAGTAAACAAGGATAACAATATTTCTATTAATTTTTATTTTTTGAATTTAATTGCAAAATGTTGTCTCGCTCTAACTTTTACTGTATTTATTTGATGGAATCCGATTGTTATCGAGACAACGCGTTAAAATTGTTGACTTTTTGATTGCTACTCTATAAAACTCATGAACTATAATATGGGGATATATGATTCGGGTTCGCATGATTTACAGCTTCTGTAGCATGCCACGCGAGGGGTATATACAGCTAAACTGTGCTTACATAGGGATACCCACTGGCCAGTAAATCGATATTGAATACGCAGTCGTCGGCCTAGCCGACATTGTGGGCGTTATTAGTGCAATGTTTCTTGAAAAAAATTACTGCATTTTATAGTTTTCTCATCCAAAAATTTGGATGAGATTTACATTAATGAAACTAAAGAAGTAATTATAAATAATAATAAAATAAAATTCAAACAATAATTTTATATAATTTAACAGCTACTTGTTGACATTAATATTTCATCCATTCGGGATGCAACTTTTGTTTTCTCGTTTTGTTTCTTGCTAATAAAAACATGCTTACGTACTTCTCCGCGTATAATCTCTTTTCTTTCTACAATTAAATTTACATAATTAAGTTTATCGCCGGTAAGATTCATATCTCTAGATACTTTCAGATTCTAGAGATGAACTGTCTGTATTGCATAAATACAGATATTATCTTAACAGCGACGATAGAGAGAGAGAGAGTTTCGGACATGTTACAATTTACTGAATATATCTTTCACTTCTGCTTACCTTGTTTCTTTTTTTTATAGAAACTGGTAGATTGTTCATATTTGGCAGCAACGATTGGGGTCAGCTCGGTCTGGGACATAAGAATCATATCAGCAAACCTTCGTGTCTAAAAAGTTTGTAACTACTTTATCGTGTAACTACGTATCTTGTAATAATAAAAAAGTTTGATAGTTAAATATAATTATATAAGACATATTTATCTGTGATATTAAAAATGTCGCCATTCCACTTTCGAGTGAATAAATTATTAAACGTATTGTAAAAATATCACGTCGTAAATTTATAATCATTAAATATCGAGGCTACCTTCTCTCTTACAAAATCGTTCGTTTAATTAAGCGCTTTTCATGATTGTAATAGGCACATTTTTATTTTAGTTTTGAAACCAGAAAAAGTCACACACGTCGCATGTGGAAGAGCGCATACTCTCATATGTACCGGTGAGTAGTGCACGAAGATACAAATATTATAAATAATAAAAAAGTCAAATTGATTATATTGTTTATTTCAATATTATTCATAGGTTTTTAATTCGTGAAATAAATAAATTTAATTCGAGAAATAAAATATTAACTCTTTTAATGAAATAAGCAGCTCTACATTTACTAGAATAATAAATTGTAAATGCGCGATATCTGGAATATTGCTTATATGTATACACGATGTATAGCTGTGTCATTAGCAGATGCACGATATCAAGTGAGCACACTATCTCTATATATATGGTTTTGCGTGTCACGAACATCGAATGAATACTTGCCGAGTCATTCAACTTCAAACTTATTCTCGTTTGAAGGCATCAACGCGATAAGAACGCCTAACTGGCATGCCACTTCGGTAACTTTCTAAGCAGATATTCAAGATGTTAATACGTCAACAAATTGAAATATCTTTAAGCAAGTAGCTTGCAAAAATATTTCTGTAGCTAATGCGGTTATAGCTAATTTGTTTTTTTTTTTAATCTGGCATAATTAACGAAAGTTGAATTATTTTTTATAAACAATTGAATACACACTTCGAAATGATTTTTTAGGAGCTCAAAAGATCTTCGCATGCGGCAGCAATCAGGAAGGTCAACTGGGTCAGGAAAATTCCGCGATAGGCGACAGCTCTAGTTCTCCAATTCTGGTTTACGATTGTGGACTGGCTGGACCCAGGATCATCCAAATCGCAGCAGGATCGCATCATTCGATGGCTTTGACTAGTGACGGAGGAGTCGTCGCTTGGGGAAGCAATTTAGAAGGACAATTAGGATTGCCAGGAATTTCAGGTTTAGTCAGCAAACCTACGAAGGTCCCTATTCCTGAACCAGTAAAGGAAATCAGCGCGGGATATTATCATTCAGCTTTTTTGACCGGTAATGTGACACTCAATAAATTGCATTGAATCCCTAAAAAATGTATATTACATTAGAATTTTGGAAAAAAATGTTAAAAATAGTGATTTGAGAATTTACCAAGAATTCTAAAACGTTGTAACACATCTATTTTTCACGAGATAAAATCGCTTGCATTGCGTGTTTGCACACTTCTAACGATGCGCGCAAACACGCATTGTAAAATACATTAGTATGTAATTTGGCGACACGTTTCGTTTCCAGAGAGCGGTCTCGTTTATGTCTGCGGCGAGTCGGAAAGCGGTAAACTAGGAATCGATGTCAACTTCTCCACGCAGGTTGCACCGAAGCAAATGCAGTTGCCGACGCCGGCACTTCATGTTACATGCGGCGGACATCACACATTCATATTAGCAGGTAGAGTTGATAGATCTTGATTTATTTTCAATACTCTTTGACTTCGCGCATTAATTAAAAAACTTTTATTAGATCTAATTTTTTGTAAAAGATCTAATTTTTTTAAATATAATAATACAGGGATTTTACCGAATTTGCAAATTAGCTCTGATAAAAAAATTTCAGCAAATGGCAATATTTATTGTTCCGGAAGTAACGCCAGCGGGCAGCTTGGTTTGGGCACGAATGTAAACGAGATACACACGCCAAAACTCCTTCCACGCGGTGCTCTTCAAGATGAAAAGATCGTTAAGATTGCCTGCGGTGAAAGTCATAGTGCTATACTTACCGGTACTTACAAAATCCTGCTTTGATTATCGCATTTGAAATTTTTAAATCTTTGACTAACATGTCACTTATTAATAACAGAGTCTGGCAAGCTCTTCACTTGCGGCGATGGGCGACATGGAAAATTGGGTTTAGAGGAGAACGAAAACAACGTTCACGAAATAACATTTGCTGCCAAATATCAAGAACTTTTTGTTACAAATGTAATTTTGCTTATCTATTTAAATATATTTATACTTTTACACCGTTTTATTTGTTCATTTCTTTCACAGGTCGCGTGCGGAGGGTGTCATACGATATTGGTTGGCCGTAGACACGAAATGAATTATCAATCACGACCGGACTCGACTGTAAAAGCAGCTACATTATACATATTTTTGATAAATAAGTTCAGAACCAACAAAACATATTCATTTTTATTAATTTCAGGAGCAAGTACAGAAGAAAAGTCTACCTCCTTTAAAGCTTCCTGTAAATATGCACAATGAACGAGTCGACAATACGGAAAACAAATCAACGGACGAAAATTCACATATCGATAAAATTAGCGAAACATCAAAAAATGATAATATTCAAACAAATTCCTCGGAAGAGGAAGTATCAAAGAAAGAGTCAGAAGTTTCGGTAAGCGATGAAAAAATTGCCAGTCCTGAAAAATCCTCAGAAGCTGCTTCGTTAGAAAATGAGGAAGAAAAAAATCAAATCTTAAATACAAGTTCTAAGATCGAAGAATCTCAATCGACCGAAAGCGAAGATCAATTAAAAGATGAGAAAAACGAGCAGAATGACGAAAATAATGAAAGCAAAGATATTGAGGAAAAGAACGAAGCCCAGGAAAATAATGAAAATGTGAATACTGAACAAGATGCTGAAGAGTCACAGCCAGAAACAGCAACAACGAGGATACAGGACGAAGCGGAACAGAAAACGTCCACAGATTCTACAGGACCGCCAAAACCACCAAGGCTAAAATCCGGCAGTGCCGGTGATAATGCAAGCAATGGAGAAGAATCAAAGGAAAGCGAAGAAGGTGAACATGAAAAAAAAGAAGACAACGAAGAGATAAAGACGAGTGACGAACAAGATTTAAGTACGAAATCTCCGGAAAAATCAAAATCGGTGTCGAAAATTAGTATTGAAAAAGCTGTGGAAGCTATCGAAAATACGATAGAAAAAGTCGAGGAGGATGGAGATGCTGAAGAACCAGAAAAAGCGGAGATGGACGGGACGCAGGACGATGCTGATGTGGTGCAATCTCCGGCACCACGAACAGGTTAGCGAAATAAATATTTAAGAGAAATAAGAAAATCAATCAAAAGCATTGATCAATTAATATAATTCACTTTGAAATAGATTTTGGCGAAATAGAAACAACTTTAAAACTCTAATATTAATTTTTAAAGTTGTTTCTATTTCACCAAATTTTTATATAATTTTTAATATGCATTCACAAATATTATAAACACTATCGATTATTGTGTTTCAGCTAAGATGGCAAAGCTATTCAAAGGCAAACGGCAGCAAGAAATACAGAACGGCACTAAAACGAATAGCGCAGCAAATCCGAAAGCTAAGGTACGCTAAGAAAATACAAGACATGTATATTTTATAGAATATCAATCGGTAGAATTTTAAATTTGTATACGAATACTATTTAATTATTATTTTGTCTCTTTTCAGTCGAAAACGTGCACCGTTCTGTGATCAAAAAGACTTCGCAAAAGAATATTACAATCCATTATATTTTTTATAAAATAACTTGTCGCTCCTGGGACCAATACATGTGGAACCAGAAATTTCCCTCTCTCTCTCTCTCCAATAATCGACATCAAGAGCTCCCTTTTATCACAAACCGATATATAAAAAGTTAGCTTACAACTAGATCTGCATTATATCGCGCCGATTTTTATCTCCCGTTCAACTTTCCGATAACGAAGAAGTTTAATCAAAAAACGTCAGCACTTTTAAAATCACTTATTAAAAATTTACTTACTATACTTAAGCACTGTAAATATATACATATATACATAATTGTACGTGTGTGCTATCACAGTATGTACATACTAAAATAATTAATAAATAATTGTACTCATCAGCCAGAATATTATTATTTGCTTTACCCATCGCAAATTTTACCTTAGATCGAGTTTTCTGCTAATTCCAGCGTGTAATCTGTAACACTTAAACAATAATTATTAGAAATTAATTATTTACCTCTCATATGCACAATAAAGCATGAATATTTTACACAGATGTAATACTTACAATCTATAAATAAATAATTCAGTTTCTTCTTCTTGAGACGAGATCTTTTCCTGTGTTTTCTGCTCCAAAGAAACGTAGTATGATTTAATTTCATTAACTTTCCCGTGCATGTAGAAGAAGGAACCAAACAATATCACATAATAAATAATGTAAGAAAAATACTAGACTGTCACCGTCATTTTAATCTTCGACGCTGCAAATTGTTCTCCGATAAGATCGTTAATATAAGGAGAAATTATGCATTATCATCTGCATCTATGTATTTATCGCACGCACATTGCTATTCTTCATCGTATGCGTATGCTGATATCAAGTGCCAGAAAGAAGGAACATAAGAATGAGAGAGACCGTATTATCTTCGTAAGCGCGTCGCGGCGTGTACTAAGATTGTCGTAGCCTACACACTCTATATCCCTTCTCCGACTCTTACATCTCTCTGACATGCGTGTTAGTACGCACATTGTTGCTCGCAAATTCCTCTTCTTCCAAATCGGAATGTCCTTGCTCTCCTTGTTGTTCTCCTAGCATAATTCTTCATTATAATTACAACCACGTACGATAAATAACGTTGTTTTTTACAAGTACCTATGTATTGCGTTCTTATTTAGTTACTGCAATTAACAATATTTTACTCTTTTCTATTCTTTATTTTAACATTTACATATATTCACATTTATCATTTTAACTTCAGCTTTTAGTATATTTATATTATAATATACAAAATAGAGAACTACTACATATTGAGAATCACGATTGTATTTTTCGCATGAGAAAACGCATTCAAGTAGTGTAAGCGTAATATAGCCGCGACGATTAACGCGCAAAAAATGATTCCACAGTTTTCGATTCCTTCCTCTTTTCTATCGTTTCAATCTATTTCAAAAGTTACAAAGTGTCGAAGTTACATTTCGTGTGATGATTTTCATGTATGTACATCAATTAAATCGCGCATTTCGAAAGATTTATTTCATCGAAATTCATTGCGTGGGCATTTATTAATTTAATTTTTATTCGTATATTTATTCATTTGTGTTAGAGTACGAAATAGAAAAACGCTCAAAAAGTATTAAAACGCGGAATTTTAATCAAGTAAAATTAATTTTTATATTAGATTACGCTGACAAATCTACAAATAAAAATTTTTTAAATACAATACGATACAAAATACGATAGAAGGCAAAAAATAAAATAGTAAATTATTTATCAAAATTAAAATTCTGAACGCCAAAGAATATCTTATAATGTGGAAAATATGGTATATCATATTAGGAATTTCGACGCTGATTCACGGCATGGGGGGGGGGAAGTTCGGTGAGGTTGTTTACGTTCGCTCTGTGACCTACGTACTTTATATCCTCTCTTCCTCACTCTCACACTTTCTCTCTTGCACACATTGATCGGCATGTATACATTCCATTCCCTACTCCTTCCAAATAGTACTTTTCCCAATTTGACCTTATCCTTGAGCTTGAGCTGGATTTTACTATTCGCACGGCGGCACTTGAACGAGACAGATCGTTTCGCGTATCGGCGCGTTATTCCCCCCTATTCAATTCTTACTTATTCCTTACAATTTTCCACCTTCCTCCCCCTTTCCGAATCGTTACCTGTTGCGTACGCTTTATCTTTTACACACACACACACATTAAAAATATATATTTTTTTTAATACATAAAAAATATTTCGTATTGTGTTAATTGCAGAGAAAACCAGACTTACACATAGCGTTTGGGGATTGTTTTGGTCGCGGCGTACGCGCTGTTTACGCATTCCATACTTTCGCTATCTCTTTCTTTTCTATCATACATTATCCTGCTTCGAATTCCCTACGTATTACTTCTGCGCGTGTTATCTTCTAGGCCTGCGCAAAGTCCTTGAGGTATCCTGTGGTATTTTGCCCCTTACCAGTCGCACGGCGGCACTCGTACGGATTGGTTGGTCCACATCATCCCTCCCTCTACCACTCTTACTACTTTCCACAGTTTTCCACCCTCTTCCCCCTTTTCCATCATTACCTGTTGCGTACATAGGGCTTGTTCGTTTTAGCTACACTGGGGCTGCTCTAGGTCTGCTCTACACAGGATAATACAGGACAGATAAATAGTTTGTCCTGTATTATCTTGTTTAGAGCAGACCCAGAGCTGCCCCAGTGCAGCTAAAACGAACAAGCCCATATTGTTCGGCACGGAGTGTCGAACGCGTATTCCGTGCGACAAGCGATATCCGAGTTATACCTTTGTCCTTATACGACAAAATCGCGTCGGGAGTGTGTAAAATACCGTGTGATCGTCGTAATAAATGCGCGTCGGGAGTGTCGTTAATGCCGAGAGTTATAGCGAATCTATAGATGAACGCATTTTTGCTGTATGACAAATATTGGGACACGATTTTTTTTGACTTTAGGCTTGGCTCGGGGGAGGGAAAGGTCGGTTTCAATCATAAAATCTCCACTACGGCAGGGCAATCTTCGGTTCTACGTGCAGCGCGCTAGTTGTACAGATAGCCGGACTGTCGAAGGTAGTCGAGGACGGCTACCGGAGTTAGTCAAACGCTACCGATTGCTTTTCAGATGCCTTGTATCTAGTCGGTTAATTGGATGACTAATCACCTCATCTTCTTCGAGCTTATCTTTGCCTTCTGTTTTGAGAGAATCGTGCCCCAATTGGTAAATGTGGTCGTCTGAAACGCGGACGGAATTTGCGCGTAACGTCACAGCTTGGACAATTCGGTTCGATTCGCCTGTGATGTCGAGAGTGCCGTTTTAAGTATCGCGCGATTTTCGTATTCAGGTACGCATGCGAGCAATGCATGCGCCGCGAACGCGTGTGATTCAATGTGAGTGCTTCGAAGGACCACTGAGAGGAGGAGGAGGCTCAGGAGGAGCATCGGGCGCCGGCGGAGCAACTTTACGGTAAGCAATAATTCATTTATTTATTGAAAATATTGTACATTAAAATATTTGAAAGACAAAATATTTACATTAGTTAATATTTATCATTATTAGAATTTATTCACATATTTTTTTACTTTTTATTTAAATAATTAAACTTTTATAATAATTCTTTTATTACATATTTGCTTAGAAAACGAATTAAAAGTTTAATGTACTCAATATTTTTTTGATTTCACAAATATTTCATATTGTGAACGCTGCTATAATTTTGATTTATTTTGTGTTTTACAGATCAACTATGCAGATCAGCAGAACGACAACTCCGCTGCTGCGCATCGATCGGTGAGTTAGTTTAATTTGTCTTTTATTATTAAGATAATGGATCAAATAATGGTGTAAAAATATATAAACGCAAGACACTTTGCAGGTCGTATAATTTTTATTGCCTTATAGTAGTTATATCAAAATTTTATTCTCTCGTATTTTTTAAAAGTATTTTGAGTTGTACGTGCATTTGTTTTTAAAAGAACAAAGTACTTATTTTTTTAGT